GGAAAACTATCATCCAGGCAAATGGAAGTCAAAAGAAAGCAGGGGTAGCTATATTATTTGCAGACAACATTAGATTCAAATTAGCAAGAGTAAAAAAGGATAAAGATGGCCACTCCATAATGATGAAAGGGAAAATCCAACAAGAAGATCTAACAATTCTCAATATTTATGCACTCAATGCAGGAGCACCCAATTACATAAAGCAAACCTTGTCTGAGCTAAATACCACTTTAAACAACACTACCATAATAGCAGGGGACTTCAACACACCAGTAAATGAACTGGATAGATCCTCCAAACAGAAATTAAGTAAAAAAATAAGGGATCTAAACAAAGCTATTGACCAAAAAGATCTGACAGATCCATACAGAACATTCCACCCAAATAAAGCTGAATTTACATTCTTCTCAGCAGCCCACGGATCCTTCTCCAAAATTGATCACATACTAGGTGGCAAAACAGATCTCAAAAAAGTCAAGAAAATAGAAATAATACCATGTGTCTTCTCTGACCATAGTGGTATAAAATTAGAGTTCAATTCTAACAGAAATACACACTACATCACTAAGTCTTGGAAACTAAACAATCTACTGTTGAATAACTATTGGGTCAAGGAAGAAATTCAGAGGGAAATCAAGAACTTATTCGAACAAATCAACAATGGAGCCACATCTTACCAAAACCTGTGGGATACAGCAAAAGCATATCTGAGAGGAAAACTAATAGCAATAAATGCTCACATCCAAAAAACAGAAAGAGTAGACACTGACAACCTAATGAATATACTCAAGGAATTGGAAAAAGAAGAGCAAAACAATTCCAATCCAAGCAGAAGAAAAGAGATATCTAAGATCAAAGCTCAACTAAATGAAATGGAAAACCAGAGAATTATATGGAAGATCAACAAAACCAGAAGCTGGTTTTTCGAAAAGATCAACAAAATTGATGGCCCTCTGGCTAGGCTGACAAGAACTCAAAGGGAAAGAACTCCAATAAACTCAATAAGAAATGAAAATGGGGAGATCATAACAGACTCCACAGACATACAAAACATTATGTTTGACTACTATAGAAATCTATATACCCAAAAACTACAGAATGAAGACAGAATGGACAGATTCCTGGACTCATACAACCTCCCTAAGTTCACCCAGAAGGTAACAGAGTTCTCGAACAGACCAATCACATGCTCAGAAATTGAAGCAGTAATTAAAAACCTCCCCAAACGGAAAAGTCCTGGGCCAGATGGCTACACTTCAGAGTTCTACCAAACATTCAAAGACGAGCTCATACCTATACTACAGAAACTATTCCACACCATTGAGAAAGATAGTATTCTGCCTAACTCATTCTACAAAGCCAATAGCACATCGATACCAAAGCCAGGAAAGGAGGCAACAAAAAAAGAAAATTACAGACCAATATCCCTCATGAATATGGATGCAAAAATCCTAAATAAAATTTTATCAAATAGAATTCAACAGCACATCAAAGAAATAATTCACCATGACCAGGTGGGATATATTCCTGGGATGCAAGGCTGGTTCAACATACGCAAGTCTATAAATGCAATCCACTTTATAAATAAAAGCAAGAACAAAGACCATATGATTCTGTCAATAAATGCAGAAAAAGCATTTGACAAAGTCCAACATACTTTTATGATAAAAACTCTTAAGAAAATAGACATAGATGGCCCTTACCTTAAATTTATCAAATCCATTTATGAAAAACCAACTGCTAATATCATCCTAAATGCGGAAAAACTGAAATCATTCTCTCTTCGAACCGGAACCAGACAAGGATGCCCACTCTCTCCCTTCCTATTCAACATAGTGCTTGAAGTCCTAGCTATAGCAATCAGGCAAGAAAGGGGTATTAAGGGCATCCAAGTCGGAACAGATGTGATCAAACTCTCACTCTTCACTGATGATATGATATTATATCTTGAAAACCCCATGGACTCTTCCAAGAGACTCCTAGATTTGATAAATGAATTCGGTAAAGTTTCAGGGCATAAAATCAATACACACAAATGAGAAGCATTCATATATGCCAAGAACCATCAAGCAGAAACTCAAATCAAAAATGCAAACCCCTTTACTAGAGCCCCAAAGAAAATTAAATACCTAGGTACTTAACGAGAGATACGAAAGATCTATACAAGGAGAACTACGAAACACTAAAAAAAGAAATTGCAGATGATTTAAACAGATGGAAAAATCTACCATGTTTATGGATTGGTAGAATCAATATTGTAAAAAATGTCAATATTACCTAAAGTGATCTATAGAATCAATGCAATCCCCATCAAAATACCACCAGCATTCTTAACAGATCTAGAAAAAATAATTCTTTGCTTTGTATGGAACCAGAGAAAACCATGTATAGCCAAAGCAATCTTAAGTAAAAAGAACAAACTGTGAGGCATCAGTCTTCCTGACTTCAAACTGTACTATAAAGCAATAATAGTAAAATCTGCCTGGTACTGGCACAAGAACAGAATCATCAATATCTGGAATAGAACTGAAATTCCAGAGATGAAACCATCTGTATATGGTAACCTAATCTTTGATAAAGCAGACAAAAATATACAATGGGGAAAAGATTCTCTCTTTAATAAATGGTGCTGGGAAAACTGATTAGCAACATGCAGAAGAGCGAATCAGGATCCCAACCTCTCACCTCTCACAAAAATTCACTCAAGATGGATAACAGATCTAAACCTAAGGCATGAAACTTTAAGAATCCTAGATGAAGAGGTTTGGAAAACCCTATCAGATATTGGTCTAGGTAAAGAATTCATGAGGAAGACCCCCCAAGGCAATCACCGCCGCATCAAAAATAAACAAATGGGATCTGATCAAATTAAAAAGTTTCTGCACTGCCAAGGAAACGATCATCAGAGCAAATAGACAACCCACAGAGTGGGAGAAAATATTCACTCTCTACATTTTTGATAAAGGTCTAATAACAAGAATCTACCTAGAACTTAAAAGAATAAACAAGAAAAAAATCAAACAACCCCATCAAGAAATGGGCAATGGAAATGAACAGAAACTTCTCCAAAGAAGACAGAATAATGGCCTGCAAACATATAAAAAAATGTTCAACATCTCTAATCATTAGAGAAATACAAATCAAAACCACAATGAGATACCACCTAACCCCAGTGAAAATGGCCTGTATTAAGAAATCCCAAAGCAATGAATGCTGGTGAGGATGTGGAGAGACAGGAACACTCTTACACTGCTGGTGGGACTGCAGATTAGTGCAACCTTTGTGGAAAAGAATTTGGAGATACCTCAGACAGCTAGAAATAGAAATACCATTCGACCCAGCAATAGCATTGTTGGGCATCTGCCCAAGAGAACATAAGTCACTCTATTATAAAGACATCTGCACCCGAATGATTATGGCAGCACAATTCACTATTGCACTGTCATGGAAACTACCCAAGTGCCTGTCAATTCATGAGTGGATAACTATAATGTGGTATATGCTCACAATGGAATATTACTCAATCCTAAGAAAGGACAGTGAGCTAGCACTGTTTATGTTATCCTGGATTAAGCTTAAGCCCGTAATACAAAGCAAGACGACACAAGACCTGGAAAAGGGGCTACACATCTACTTGCCATCAAATTGGTACTGATTGACTAAAACTATGGTGCTCAAAAAAAATGGTAGTGTTCAACAGGGACTTGGGGAGGGAGATCCACATCTTAAGGAAGTGGTGAGCATTGTGGGGGGAAGGGATTACCTCTATCCATTTTTAGGGAGAGATAAAGATATACATTGTAATCAAAATGTCTGAAAAAAAATCTGTAGTCGGAAGTGGGCAGGGGGAAGGGGGGAGGAGGGGAAGGGTGTGTACTTACACGGTGGGTGCGGTGCGCACCACCTGGAGGCTGGACACGCTAGAAGCTTTGGCATAGCGGGGTGGGGGAGGGGGGCAGGGGCAAGATATGTAACCCTAACAATATTTGTACTCCCATAATATGAAGGAATAAAAAAAAGTGCTAAAGAGAAACATATATCTTGTAAATGTCATGGATTTGTGTGCAGTGGGACCATTATCCCTTTTATATGTTCGACAACAAAGTGAGAGATGAATTTGATATGAACAAAACCCTGCTATTTCAAGCTCCTTTATCTCTTAAACACAAAATCAGTAATATATTCATTGTGCTGCAAAACATTTCCATGCTGATTAATTAAATGCATAACTTATATTATTATGGAAATAAACTACGTTTCTCTCTTTGACGTGACATATTTGAATCTAAATTTTCAATATGTAACATACTGCATCAGCTTATGATAACAGCTAGGGGGGTGTAATTTGGGATTAAAAAAGATGCAAAGTTATACAAGCTTAGCAGACATGCACAACTTCTATCTAGAGTGGGCATAAGAATTGAGGAATAATATTCTTACAGCCCCTCCATTTGACTTTATAAACTGATGGCTGACAAAATGTTTACAATCCATCCATCACTGTTGTAGTTGCTTTTTACTCTGCCACCCCAGCCCCATCCAAGAGAACCCTGTCCTTAGGAAGCATCACATTAATGGCCCAGAGTGTGAGGGGCAAGGCCAGCCCTGGTACTGTCGCTGCCCTGGGTGCTGGAAGGAGAGGAGGGACCTCCTTTGGGCCAAATTGTATTTTCAGAGCAGGGAGGTAGGCCCTGGGGGGAGGATAGCAGGGCTGCTCAGTCCCTAAATTGACAAAATTCCTTACTGTAACCTGCCCTCTGGATATGAATGAATTTTACATACAGGTATAATCTGGCAGAAGAAATTCCTATCAAATTGTCCGTGATGTAATTGTGTTGGTTGGAACAATAGTTTTGGCTTTTCTTTGATTGTTTTGAGTCTTCATAACTATTTGGTAAAAAACCTGGGAAAAATTCTGATTTTATAAATAATAGTAGTGTATATACATTTTAACAAAAGTAACAATAACAGCCAGTTTTGCCCCACTTCCCCATCTGTACGGGTAACCGTGAGATTCGCTGCTGTGTTCGATCAGACAGTGACAGTCAGCCTCGTCCTCAGGCTGCAGCCCAGAGACGTGCAGAATCCCTGCGTTGGCCGAGGCGTCTTTGGAGCCAGAGAAGCGGCTGGGGCCCCCGGAGCCCTGGTGCTTATCTGAGTCTGAGTAGTAGCTTAGGAGGTACTGGGGCGGGCTCCCTGGGTTCTCCTGGTGCCAAGTTATAACATAGCTGCCAACACTGAAGCCACTGCTCAGGGTGCAGGTGAGTCTGGCTGATGCCCCAGGAGATGCAGAGAGGGAGGGCGGCTGGGTCAGCACAGGCTGGGACAGGGAACCTGCAAACACAGACTCTTGTGTGTGCTGGAGTAGAAACCAGGGTGGAGTTCTTCATGGGTCTTAGACAAAGGGGCTGACACAGGATACTGAGACTCAGTTTCCAAGGCCTGTCCCTACCTGTGCAGTGAGAGAGGAGCACGAGCAGGAGAGGAGCCCAGGCCATGGTGCACACAGCCCCTGGTCCCCACAGTGGGGCTGGGCTGCCCAGGCCTCCATTTGTCCCCACCCTCTGCAGAGGAGGGGCTGCTCATGCAAACGTGTTTCCATCCAGGGACTGCCCAGCCCCGCCCTGAGCCCTGGGCTGAGCTCAGCTCTCACTGCACACTGAGGAGGGGGGCTTTGCTTTGCCCCTTGGGGGAGCCCTGGGAGGAAGCAGCTGCCAGGACCATACAAAGGGCCCTGCTCAGGGGACTGTGCCAGGCCAGAGAGGACACAGCTGCTGAGTCCCTATTAGGGAGCACAGGGCCCACCTCTGAAGCCCAGGCTCCTTGGAGTGACTGGTCCTCCCTGAGAAGCTGTGTAGTGACCACAGGGCAGTCCCCCAGCGCCCCCTGCTGGTCACAGGCACACACCTCCCCATGGCCCAGAGACCTGAGAGCCCAGCTGGTCTCTGCAGCTCCCAGTCACTGTCTGTATTGACACAGGCGCAGTCTGCATCTTACAAACTGTGATCCTAATGCTGATACTCTGTGTGGAATCACTGTCGTTTCTCACTTCCAGTAGGAATCTTGGACTATGAGAGGAGCAAACATGTATATAAATGACAACTTAGGTTGTCAGCCCCTCATCTAAGATGTTACCAATGTAATATCGCTTCCTGGTATATTATTCAATACATACATGTGTTTCTACTATTTCTTGGCCATTAGTGATAATGGAAATGTTTTCCAACCACTCTCACATGAGTGGATTTGTGTCTTACTCTCCTGATTGTTCACTGTTGCCATCGCTGTGCTAATTGTCACCGTGGAGGAGGCGCGGAGCGCCCTGAGGTTGCACCTGTGGGCTCACACCTGCCAGGTCGCACTGGAGCAACGTGCGGCTGGCGCTGCGCCCTCAGATCCCGTGTCGTCAGCCCCACGTCCCCTCTCCCGCGCCCAGTCTCTGCTCTGTGGACACCGAGCCCACACGCCATCCTACTGTCCTCGCGTGTGTTCTCAAGAGGATGTTTGAGGGGCTTCAGTTGAACAGGTGAATCTGAGATACCCGCGATTCACACAGTGAATTTCCAGCATGAAGTATAACGCTTTAATGACAAGTGACTGCCTTACGATTTCTAAGTTCCATGGAGTGTCAGTGACACCCACCCACGCAGCACCCACGCTCTGCAGCGACTGAGCTCCTGTCTGCCGTCCTCGGTGCCCGAATCTGCTCCTCCTCCCGCCGCTCCCGTGGAGCTGCGCTCCGGCCCTGCCGCCCATCCAGTCCTTCTCCGCTGTCTCTGCAGGAGCCCGTGGGACCTGCCCGGCTCCCGGTCACTTCCCCAGGGCTCACGCCCACGTTCCTCTCTTGCTCTCTAGACCCCGAGGGCAGCGCTGCCATTACCAACTTCTTTGTATGAACTCAGAACTCTGAACTGAGATGTCCACGGCGGAAACTCAGCATGTTTGCCTCAGACATGAGGCTCTTCCTGGGGATGGCGCTGAGGGGACGGCACCTGGTCACTCCATGGACGGTGAGAGTGTCCCGGGCGCCAGGCCGAGCTCTGAGCTCTGTGCACAGAGGGAGGAGCGGGAACCAGCAGGAGGGGACAGTCCTGTGCGTGGAGCTCAGGCTCCTGTGGGGACGCGCAGTGAGCACAGACGCAGCGCCGCCCTGGGCACGCGGAGCCCTGACAGCGGACGCCCCTCGGCCGCGCAGGACGTGGGCACCGAGCCCACCCTCTCCACGCCCTCAGGCCGGCCTCCCCGACTGCCCGTGCTGAGTGCAGGGCCGCCACTGCTCTCCTGGCCGCTTGGCCCAGTGCGACGTGTTCGCCAGGTGTCCTCACTTCATTCCCTCTTACACAGCGGAGGACGCTTCACCCGCGTCTGAAGACAGCGCCACTCTGTTCCCAAACACCCCAGGCTCTTTCCCCGAGAACAAAGCGTAAAACATTCAGTGTCTCATTCCACTGTCTCTGGGCCTGGCCCCTCAGTTCTTCCCCAGCCCTGGTCCCCAGCCTCTGCCCCTGGGCCTGGACACAAGCCCGTGCAGGTCCCCATGGAAATATGTCACTGACCTCGGCCCGCAGTGTCCCCTTCCCTTTCAGCACTTCTGCTCCTCCTCCCAGCCTGTGCCTCTTCCCAGTGGGGATGTTTATTTCATTGTGTGGAATTTACCAGGAACCCCCGCAGATGCATCTCTGCCCACCCATGTGCACGTTTCCCCACGGAGAATGGACTGAGAGCGACACTAAGCATGGCTCAAGATTATGATCCATATTGTCAACCTCTGGTTCCCTCATTGGCTGTACCTTCCAAAGTGTGTTTGTGTATCGTGCTCCTAAGTCCCCTAAACATTTAATCTTTCCAAAACGATGAAAGAATGTCTGAGAGGAAAGATGGAATATCCTCCTTGCATTGGGGCAGGTTTCAGCATCGTTGGAGACTCTGTGGCATCTGAGTTCCAGGTTGTCTTTAGTCAGGGTAACTGGGGAAATGGGACTCACTAGGGAGTCTGGAGATCTATTTCTTATGATCATTTAATGTAAAAACCCTGATAAAGGACAGTTTCATCTTACCTATAGATAAGGGGATTTAAGCAAGGCTCTCAACTTTACCGTGTTATGAGAGATAATCAAAAACATCCACGGCATGGATGGCCCAGCTCACATCTCCATATTTTTGCAATTGTTCAGAGAAACTTCCCAAGGATTCATGGGTTCATGGACACCTGTGAGATCTGGCCTTTCTGTGTGGTCACAACAGAGGGAGGATGCAGGGGTTTGGTGTGACGCAGCGCCTGCTCATGCCGCGCACACACTAGCCCTGGACTCTCTAGGACGCCCCGGCCTCCTCTGAGTGGTCAGCGAGATGCCCAACATCTCGTCCTGCAGACAGTGGAGCGCGAACTTGACCATCACAATCCCGTAGGGCTTCTCCTCTCATCCTTACCGTCCACATTGCATCCTGGCGAAAATTCCCATGTTTGAACCATCCATGACAGCCATTCAAAGTAGGGTCATCTAAATGTCCCCATGTCCCCTGATGAGAGAGCGTGATCCCTGCAGAGCTTCCTCTCCTGTGTAGGGAATGCTTCCCTCTCGCAGGGTGGCACACACCCCTTCCAAGTCTTCAGTAGTGCAGGGAGTGATCTTCCAGTCCACAAAGTGCCAACAGAAAGAACACACACCCACTGCTGGGCCCATCAGTGCGTGTGTGTGTGTGTGTGTGTGTGTGTGTGCATATATGTGTTCCCTTCTATGAGGTCACATAGTCCTGTTCTGATTGTTGTTCAGTGTTTCATGTCTGCAAAGAGTTGTTTCGTGTAATCGGTTCTGTCTTATGGTTGGTTGTTATATAAGGGCTGGACCTGCTGCCATTTATTGCATTATGGCTGGGGACGGAAATTGACGTGCCCTGGGTACGAAAGTGTGTGTTTATTTATCTTAATGCAATTTAATAACTTATATCCTCTTATGACACTTTCCATATGCTGTACAGACAGGAGCTCTTGTTGGGAGCTGTCCCGGACACGGGAGCGGGAGGTTAAATGGGTTCTGCCCGGAACACTGGGGGCCTTGAGACACAGCACCTGGCCCCTTGACCGACCTGACAGTTCTTGCCTTTCTCAGCTCACGAGGGTGCTGGTAATAGCGTAGCAGTTATAGAAGGTCCTGAAGTCATCCTGTGCACACAGCCCGTCCGTACTTATTAGCCCCCCCCCCCCCCCCAGGCCCTGCCGTTCCTTTTCCCAAATTGTAATTACGCTTGGGTGCTCTTTTCCTTGAACTGTCTGATGATCATAGTTAGTATTTGTAGCTTTTGATATCAGAAAAAAGTTAAGGTTTGTAGGTAGAAAATGCTTAGCGAGGGCAAGGCTATCCAAGGACGTAAGGTTGAAGAAACAAGAACTGTCCTGTTTTCTGGAATAATGAAGACATGCACCACCTGTTCCTATGCATTTCGCTTCTCCTTTGTTTCATCGGTATAATACAGCCACTGATAAACGATGCCGCGGCAGTCACCAAGCACTCCGTCCTCCGGTCCCCATCTTTTTGTTGGCTCTCATTTCTCAGCCTCCGCCCAACTCCAGTCCGCACGTCGCCCCCGGGGCCCTTTGGCCCGGTGAGCTCTAATCAAGTCTCCCTTGGATTCCCTGAGGTGGTCAGGCAATGCACATTTCTTTCATCCAAATTGGGGAAATTTGATATAATTTCAAATAGGTTTCGTGTCCTTTTCTCACTCATATCCCACTGGACATCTTATTGTGTGAGTCAGCCGCGTGATGGTGTCGCACATCTGGCAGGTTCTGCACATTGTAGCCTGCTTCGTCCCCCTCAGAGAGGAATTGCCAATTGGCCTCTGCTGTTAACTCAATGAGGCCTTATCATACTTTCTTCGGTATGAGACATTCTTCTATAGTTTCTTTGACATTGATTTTCTTTGTGTCCTTTCAATAATATTTATAACATACTGATTGAATTTCTGTCAAGTAACTCTAATGTTTCTGCTTCTTTGGGACAGTTTATTATCAGTGTGTTGTGTGTGTATGTTTTTGTATGTTTGTGTGTGTGTGTCTTGTTTGTGTTGTGTGTGTGTAAATTGTTGCAAGATTTGCTGTTTTTTATTGCCCTCTGTTAGGCATACTTTTCCTGTTTACTTTTCTCATAATTTCACTTTAAAAAGAAGTTTTACATAATATAATGTGAACAACTGTGCCAATCAGATCCTCTCCTTAAGTGTTATTCTTGAGTTGTGCTATTTGTTCGTAGTTGTTATTGTTGTTGATTAAATTGTTCTGTTGATTTTCTGGACTGATCTGTATTCTGTGTTATTGCATACTGTGGTCACTGAGTTATTCCATTCCCATGATGTTAGCTAATTTTTGGACATAGAAACTAGGAACATTCAAAATCAGTGGTCTATTTATGTCAATTATCAGTCACTAGAAACACATATAAGAATAGCTGGAATAAATCCCGCAGAGAGGAACACACTGAGGTTGAGTCATGGGAAGGAAACATAGGTCTGGGAACTCCTGAAACGCACAGAGAGGACAGGGAGACACCAGAGATCCACACTCACGCGGTGGGTCTGAGATGACACAGCTGCCAGCCAGCTCAGCCCAGACCTCAGTGCAAGAAACCCTGTGCCCCAGCTGTAGGGGCAGGGAAAGTCGTTTCTTGGTGGCCCCTTTCCCAGCCCTGGCTGCTGTGAGTGACGCGAGGACAGCGGGGAGACAGCCCCTTGCCCACGTGAGCCTGTGGCTCGCAGCTGGCCCCACGTGGCACACAACAGCAAAACACGGCTGGCCGAGCACAGCTGCCGGTGGGGTTCACCTCTGCAGGTGAGACTGGTTTCTTGTTGCAACTTCCCCTGGGCCCTGTAGCACTGTGAGCACAAGACTACTGTCATAGGACTGCAAGTAATATCGCCTCTCCAGCTTGACCCCGCGATGGTCAGGAGGCCGAGCCTGCCAGACTTGGAGCCAGAGACCTGCGGGACCGCCGAGTCTTTTTGCTGTTATACGTAGATGAGGATTTGGGGGCCGTTCCTCGGCTGCTGACCATGCGCATAGTTACCTTGATTGCTGCAGAGATGGTGACGCTCTGCCCTGGGGCTCCGACACG